ATTTTTTTTTTTATTTTTTGTTTTTTAAATAAAATCATTAACACCAATAAAAAGGAATTGTTATTGAAATTAATTGCACTACATTTGTATTTTGGATTTTGATGGGCTTTGTTATTTGGTAGGATGATTTTGTGTCGTGTCTAGGTTCTAAACGAGTTGAACTCGAGCTTAGGGTGTTTGAGCTCGAGTTCAAGTTCAAGCTCGTTAAAGCCTCGAGTTTAAGCGGATCTCGAGCTTTTAACGAGCTAAACTATAAAAAAATTATATAAAAAATCTCTTTTTAAGTCTTAACAAGCCTTATTGAGTCGAGTCAAACTCGATTGTTAACCATATGAGCTTTAAATAATAAGTTCGAACTCAGCTCGTTAAGACATTGAGGTTGAGCCGAACTAAACTCGTTTAATTCAATAGCACCAACTGTTTCACACTTGGTTAAGGCTATGTTTGATAGACAAATAAACTAGTTTATAGCTTATTTGGTAGCTTAAAAGCTCGAGCTATTTGATAAACTTTCTTAGGTAGTTTTTCAAATAAGCCAGTTGAATTTTTTATTCCACCTAACTTATCAACTAATTTAACTAAACACTTTTATCATATAAGTTAGTTTATCAGCTATAAGTCATAAGCTATAAACTATAAGTTAAAAAATTACTGATAAGTTATAAGCTAGTTTATTAACTATCAACTAGTTTTCTGCAAGTTTTACCAAACATAGCCTAAGAATGTCGGATAAATTATCGGCCCATTTTTATTAAGAAACGGGCTGAAGCCCACACAGAGCTACTCCTTATCACATCTATATATATATAATTACTGGCTAATGAGCATTTAATAAAACCTATTAAATTATACCTAGGTGGCAATATAATTTTTTCCCTCCAAAAACCGTTACTTTTTATTCATTTAACATCTCATTTAATTATTAGGTAATCAATACACTAATTACTTTAAAATTACAAAAATCATTTTAAATTTTCTAATTACTTGCAGTTGACCATATAATGTGTTGACTATTTAATGTGAGTAGATGTTATTGTTGTGGTTACATTTAAATTAACTTCTTTCGAAAAATTAAAAACATATTTGAAATTCCTAAATAAATAATATATAATTCACAAAAAAAGATACATACCAAAATATACATTATATCCAATATGATAAACGCAATTTAAAAAATTTAAATATTTAAGCTCCTTTAATTGTAAATTTAACAAAAAATATTAATCATTATATGTATATAAATAACTTATAATATTTTATTTATATATTTGTGCAAATGCACAGGTTGAATACTAGTTCGTCTAAACAGTGTAATACGCTCACTCGCCAAACACAGTGTAACAGCTGAAAATCAACGAATCACTTCAATTTTTTCATTTCGCATTTTCTCAGTGGTGAAGAAGAAAAAGAAAAATGGGCCGGAAAAAGGGGGTTCACCTGGTGCACGACGGGCCGCCGGACGATTTCGACCCGGAAAACCCGTACAAGGACCCGGTGGCCATGCTCGAGATGCGTGAGCACCTCGTCAGGGAGAAGTGGATCGACATCGAGAAGGCCAAGATCCTCCGGGAGAAGGTCCGCCGGTGCTACCGCGTCGAAGGAGTAAACCACCTCCAGAAGTGCCGCCACCTTGTCCACCACTACCTCGACGCCACCCGCGGCGTCGGCTGGGGCAAGGACCACCGCCCGCACGCCCTCCATGGTTTGGTTTTCGATCTACCGCTCTTCTCCTCGCCAGTATATTTTTTTAAATATATATTGATTTGTATCTTGAATTTTTTTGGTGGGTTTGTAGGTCCGAAGGTGGAGGCGCCTGATGAGTGAGTGACTTGATTTGCAGATTGGGAATAATATTTGAGGCCCTATCTTTACCTCTCTCGTGATTCCTTTTACTGTAATTTCAACATTGAGCTTTATGTTCCACTGCTGTAAGAACTGCTAGAGTCATTTGTGTGATTGCCTTTCTCTCTCTCACTTGTATTTGGTGTAATCTTGTGTCATTTGTTTTATCATTTTGCCAGTCTCTTCATTGCGCGAGTAGTAGTCTCTCTGTCGTGTTTACAGTGCATTTGGCATTGATCTTGTTATTGCACTAACAGTGGTTTGATACCATCCATTTCCTCCAATTGTGATGTGGGCCTCTAAAATGCGAGGCTATAAGATTGTATAGCTATGGAAACATATAGCGTTTGCTTATATGTATTGATTTTTTTTCAAAATCGTATTCATTATCCAAACTAATTGCAGAGTGATTTCCTATCAGACTGCGTTTGCGTTAAAATTGTTGAAAAACCGGCAAATTATTTGTGCATTTTAGCCTCTGGATTTTTGGTTAGGGGAGGGAATGGAAGATGGGAAGTTCAACTTCAAACATAAAACATAAGGTGTCATTCAAGCGAGACATGTTTTACTTTATGTATTGAGTATTTCCCACATAATGCAAGCATCATTCATTACATCAAATGCTTCATACATATGTATGTACTCCTGATTCTCTCTCTATTTTTTTCCCTATTTGATTTGATTTGATTTATTATTATTTTTTGTCTTTGCTAACTTATATTTTAGCTTCCAAATAGTTTTAGGACTCCATTGTAGCTGGTCATGCAGACTAATTTCTTTTGGTGGCTATTCATGATCTGCCTGACGTAATGATTTGCCTATGCATACATTTTATTTAATCTCCTTAGTCCATTTATATTAGCAGCATATTAACAACTACAGGTTTTTCCCTAATTAAATAATTTCATATTCAAATAGTTGTTGATTTGTTATGATGTGGATATGTCCAAACGAGCTTTAAAGCCCAGTCCCAACCACACACACAACTTAGCCTCTGTTCAATTAGAAATGGAACTTTCAGAACACGTACATCAAATATTTATTTTGTGAACGATTGTAAGTGTGTGGCAATAATTCTTCTTTATTTTGGTTTACTTCTGTCCTGCAGGTAATCAAGTTTACTGCAGATAATCTATGTGGAGAGTTTGCGGATGTTAATCAGGTGTGTTCGTTGGGTTACTAGCCTTTTGCTTAGTTAAGTGTTACTCTCAAATGTATTCCTTTAGCGATGTACAGTCATTAGCGGCCAGGTTGTAAAATCCACCTTTTCAACTTTGAATTTCTGTACTTGTGAAAGTGATGATGAGAGCTTTATATCAAATAATAAAAAACAGAATGATGTCACTAATTCTTTTCAGCCACACTACTGTTGTTGACTTTGTTGATTAATGGTTATTGTGCTCCTCACTATCTTGCTTTGAAAGGGCAAATATAAGCTATTTTTATGAGTCTGGTTGAGTTCATATTTTTTATTTAGAGAGTAGCTTACCTCAGTATTGTGCATTTTATTTTTACTTGAAGACACTTTGGGATTTTATGGACTGTGTGATAGAAAATAAATGTAATTTGTTAGTATGAATTCTACCTGTCGAATCCAAATCTTTTAAACCTTTCTTGGTCCGTCCCATGTCATGGCCCCAGTATTACATCAACTCTTTTTCTTGATGAGAAGAAAGGAAATTAATATATTCGAGGACCTATTCACTCTGGTGTATTGCATTCAATTTAGATGTTAATTAATCACCCTCGTGACTTGTTACTGGTTTATAGAATACAAGGAAAGATTAAAAAGAAAGCTAAAAGAGAGCATCCCC